TGTTTCTCTGGGCTTTCAACAGGCTTAGACATTCCCTGTGCTACGGTGGAATTCAGGAAGGCTGCCACAGACTTTACAGCGTGCGGGAACAAGGATTCCGCATCTGACTGGGACAAACCCTTCTGTTTTTCTGGAGCCATCGTGTCCCTTGCCTGAGTTCCAGAGTCCCATTTACTGGCCATGACTTCATAAGGCACTGCAGAAGCCATTAGAAGTTCAGTCGCTGCCTGGTCTCTCAGAGTGTTTTTTTCATATATTCTCACGTTTATCTTCTCCCACAGGCTTGGGGTAAAAATTTTCTGTGAATCCACGTTAGGGAATTCTGCCCGTACCCAGGATAGAAGGCTTTTAAGCTCCTCCGTGGATACAGAGATCGGGTGCTTCTTTACCGTAGCTTCCAAGACAGCCAAAACCTCCCCCTCAGGTCTGGACATGTTTCCCATATTTTTGCTCCCTTTTGACGGCTTACCTGACCTGAGGGTCAGCTTTCTCTCAGCTCCTCTATCCGTGATCCGTTCCACAGCTCACAGACGTCTGGCTTGGCTTGTCCGCTCTCACCAGCACCGGGATTACCGAGATCTTCTTCTTCCCCTTTCCAGGGAGTTTTCCAGCTTTCCGCTGTCTTCTTTTTGATTTTGGTTTTTTTGGATTTTGTTTTTTTTTTCCTCAACAGGAGCCTTCAGTTCAAAGTGCCCCAAGTTTGGGAGCCATTTGTCTCGTTAAGGACTTTTGGATTAGGTTCTTTTTCCCTCTGAACTGAAGATTAATGAGAGGGAGGCAGTTTTTTCATGTTCAGTTGTTTATTCTTTTCTTATCAGCATTACAAGGTACAAGGAGCTATGTGCACTATGATAGAAAAGGGATAAAATGGCTAACAAAGATCCTCTTCAGTGTCCATTTACCCAATTAACAGATGCCAACTCAATTATTTTTCTTAGTGACCCAATGATCCAACACCTGTGTGTTGCACTGCGGCATTTTTTACCCAATCACTTTCTACTACCCAAAAACCCCTCGGAGAAGATCATGAAGAAGAAAGAAGAAGGACAAGAGACAACACCCTAAATCTTCCATCTTGTCTCCTGTTCTCTAAACTACTTTTTCACGCAGTGATTTAAGAAACTTTCTAATCTACACACTTACACTTTTCCTATCTCTATTTAACATTTGTTTTCATGTATCACCATGAAAACATGCTCATGAATTTCATGTCATATGAAATTCAGTGTTTCTTTGAATCCTAGAACTAAGTATTAGAAACAAGGGCACACACTCTGTATCTCAGACTCCAACACCAGAGTGAGCTAGTGAGGAAAATGCCTGGCCTGGCTGGGCAGGGAGCTTTTGCAGGAACTCAGGAAAAAGATGAGGGTGCATCACCTTTGGACAGAGGGACAGGCAACTCAGGAAATGTTTCAGGATGTCATTAGGTCCTGCAGAAAGAAAAGTAGAGAGGTGAAAGCTGAATGAGAGCTTAACGTTGCTGCTTCTGTGAAGGATAATATATCACATCTCACGGGAGCTGATCTGGCTCTGTCACTGGGGCCTGCACAGGAGTGGGTCACACCCCAGGAGCAGGATGAGCCCAGGTGTGACTAGAGTACTCACTCTACAAGTTTTAGCTGTCAGTCTGTGCTCTGAGGAGGCAAGGACAAGAGGGAGGTCTTTTGTATGGGATAATAGAGGATTTATTGCTCTGGAGAACCTTGGGGACAAAAGTCAGAAAATGCCACCGTGCAACAGCTGAAATAGGGAGGTGGTTCAAAGAGAGGGTCCAAAGCATCAGCTAATCAGAGATATCCTGGGGAGGGTAAAAGGCAGGGTTCACAAAATCATCATCCAATTGGGGCCCAAAGCACCAAGGATCCACTGTGACTCCACGGAGTGTCATGGAACCGTGGAGACCATTGTGACACTGCAGGGCCTCATGGAACCATTCTGACACCAAGCTGGCTGGGAGTGTGGATGTGCTGGAGGGCAGGAGGGCTCTGCACAGGGAGCTGGACAGGCTGGATGCAGGGCCCAAAGCCAACAAGGTGAGGTTGAACAAGACCAAGTGCCGGCTCCTGCACTTTGGCCACAACAAGGCCTGCAGTGCTCCAGGCTGGGGACAGAGTGGCTGGACAGCGGCCAGGCAGAAAGGGAGCTGGGCCACTGATGGACAGCAGGTTGGACATGAGGCAGCAGTGTGCCCAGGTGGCCAAGAAGGCCAATGGCCCCTGGCCTGCATCAGGAATGGTGTGGCCAACAGGAGCAGGGCAGGGATTCTTCCCCTGTGCTGGGCACTGCTGAGGCCACACCTCGAGTGCTGTGTCCAGTCCTGGGCCCCCAATTGAGGAAGGCCATGGAGGGGCTGGAGCGTGTCCAGAGAAGGGCAACAAGGCTGCTGACGGGTCTGGAGCACAAGTCCTGTCAGGAGTGGCTGAGTGTGGCGGGTTTTAGCTCTAGCTAAATCACCAGAGTATTTAATTATTTTTTGCTGTGAGATATGGATTAGGAAAAGGGCAAAACAGGCTTAAATTTAAAAGGAATAAAGAAATTTTATGGTCAGTCTACAAGAATAAGAAAGAAGAATAAAACCTCCAGAAACCTTTCCTCCCCCTACGTAACTTTACCTTTCTCAAGTGACACGGCAGAGACAAAACCTGGGATGTTTAAGCAGTGCCAACTATACAATAGTCTTTTCATCAGTCTGTGCAGGGAGAGGAGTTTTCTCTTGTCATGCCATGGAGAGCTCTCCAAAAGAAACAGTTTTCTCATGGCCTTTCATTTCTACACATGTCAGTCACCCGGGCACAAACTCTGCCCTCTCCTCCCGTTTTCACACCA